AGCGCAGCCCCGGGCGTGGTCTGCTCCCCTCCCCGTGTCCGGTGAGTCCTGTGTCCCCACCAAACCCAGAGGTTCTTCCTTCCTCCTGCAGCAGCTGAAAGGGAAGGTCCTGGTGAAAGGGAAGAAGCTGCCGGACCTGCAGCATAGGGTGCAGAACAGCGGCTCTGTGTCAGACAACGAGGAAGAGGAGGAGGAGGAGGAAGAGGAGGAGGAAGAGGGGCTGCAGGAGAAAGCCCTGCAGCAGGTAAGGAGCAGTGGGCATGAGGCTGGTTCCCAAGGGCTGCTGCTCTGCTCAGTGGCAATGTCACCATGCCAATGGCACAGCAGGGTACCTCATGTCAGAGGGAACTCCTCGTGATCCAAGGGGTGACCATGGCGGGGTGGCCATGATGCCCTGCTGAGCCATTCTAGACCCGCCCTGTGTTTTCTGGCTGGGAAAGGCCAGTGCTGATGATGGAGACGATCCTATGGTTGGACTGGTGGTGCTGGGGGCTGAGCACTCCTGGGCATCCCTGGACATGGTTTCTCTTTCTCCTCTTCCAGTCACTTCGCTCTCTGCAGGAGATCAAGCCATTGCAGGTGGGTTGTGGTGTTCTCCCCTATTTGTCTGGGTACTTCATGCTCAGGATCTCCATCGCCTTGGTGCCTCCTTCACCCAGGGGTTTCCATTGCCTCAGGGAGTTCTCCATCTCCTCGGCTTCTCCATTGCCTCAGGGTCTCCTTTGTGTTAGGATGTCCATTCTCTTGGGGTCTCCACAGCCTTGAGCCTACACTGCTTTGGGATGTCCATTGCTTTGGGGTCTCTATCATCCTGGATCTGCATCACCTTGGGTTCTCCATTGCCTTGGGGTCTCTGTCATCTTGGGCTTTCCATTGCCTTGGGTGCGCCACTGCCTCCAAGTCTCCACTGCCTTGGGGGGTTCAGCACTTGGTGCCAGCCTGCTCAGGCCTCTTTAGCATGGATGGGGTGAGGGGCCATGGTCCATGGGTGGGCCCTGGAGCTGGGGGTGGCTCTGAGGCTGCCCTGGCTCCCCCAGGCCAAGGAGGCCTCTCAGGTGGCCCCGGAGCTCTCCTCCGTGGTGGTGTACTGCCAAGCTGTGCACTTCCCCGGCCTGGCCCGGGCCCTGCGCGACCCACGGCCCTGCGAGATGTCGTCCTTCAGCGAGAGGAAGGCCCGGAAGCTCATCAGGGAGGCAGGTGAGGGGGCAGCGATGGCTGCTGGGCCTGGGCTTGGCCAGGGTGTGGGGCATCCACTGGGTAGGATGAACTAGGATGCTCTGGGTTGTCACCGGGGATGCTCTGAGAGGGACGTGCTGGACCCTGGTGCCTGGGGGAGCCTGGGCTCCAGGATTGGGATCTAAGGTCTCGGGTCAGGGTCTGCGCTCCAGGGTCAAGGTCTGGAGTCAAGGCCCAGGTGAGGATCCAGGCCCAGGCTCTGAGCCTGCCAGGTTGAGTGGGTGCCTTCAGGGCCACCGGCGGGTAGGGTGTCCCTGAGGGTGCTGGGACAGCCAGCATGGCCATACATGGCACCCAAGGGTGCCCCGTCCCACCCGGGCACCCTGCACACCCGGCCTCCGCTCAGCCCCGCTCCCGCAGGCAAGGCCTTCGTGCGCTACAACGCCCGGCAGCTCAGCCGCGTCTACCCACTGGGACTCAAGATGAACTCCTCCAACTACAACCCCCAGGAGATGTGGAACGCGGGCTGCCAGATCGGTGCGGCCCTGCCAGGGAGGCCCTGGTGCCCCTCAGCTCGTCCTGACCCAACACCCCTCAGCCCACCCCAAACTGGCACCTCATGGCCCACCCCCAGCCAGCACCCCTGGGCCCTCTCAGCCCACCCCAACCAGGCTCACCATGGCCCGCCTTGACCCAGCCGCCCCGCCAGGCAAACCAACCCAGCACCTCTTGGCCCATCTCTACTTAGCAACCCATGAGACTCTCCAGCACCTCTGACCCACCCCAACTGCCACCGCATGTCTCACCCTGAACCAACACCCCTTGGTCCAAACCAACTCAGCATACCTCAGCTCATCCCAACCAGGCACTCCATGACCTAGCTTGTCCCAATATCCAATGGCCCCCCATGATCCAGCTTGTTCCAACACCCCACAGTTCACCCCAACCAGGCATCCCAAGACCCACCTCGACCCAGCACCTCTCAGTCCAAACCAGCCCAACATCCCTTGGCCTATCTTGACCTAGCACCCCATAGGCCACCTCAGCACCCGTGACCCATCCCCACCCAGCACCCATGGCTCACCTTGACTTAACACCTCATAGCCCACCCCAACCAGGGACCCCATGGTCCACTTCAACCAGGTACCCCATGGCCCACCTTGACCCAACACCCCATAGCCCACCCCAACCAGGTACCCCAAGACCCACTTTGACTCACCACCCGATGGACACTTTGACCCAACACCCCATCGCCTACCACAACCATGCAGCCCACAGTCCACCTTGACTCAACACCCCTCGGCCCAAGCAAACCCTCAGACCAACCCAACCGCCCTGCGACCACAGTGGCAGCGTTGGTGCTTCCCCCATGCCCACATCCCGATGACACCGGCCCCCGGCCACCCTCCTCTCTGCCCCGGCAGTGGCCCTCAACTTCCAGACGCCGGGCTACGAGATGGACCTCAACGCCGGGCGCTTCCTGGGCAATGGGCGCTGCGGCTACGTGCTGAAGCCCGGCT